TTCTGCTATGTTCAATTAATGTAATTGGGTGAGTATAGATAAGATTATTGTTGTAATGTTGTTTTTTTGAAATTGCCTATATGTTTGCATGTTCTCAAACACTTGGTGTTTTTTCTAATTTAAGACATGCATTAAAGATGTCTAATAATATTTGCTTTGCAACTTTGGTAAATGTTGTAATATTTCATTCAAGATTTCAGAAGGTTCTGTAGCTTTGTGAATTGGTAAGGAGGTTATAGTTTCCATTAGTTCCTGTAAAGTTATTGGTTGTAACAAGCTATTGTATATGTTGGAGTTAATATATAGCAGAGGTTGTAAGGCTAATACCTATTCTTGTTCGAATTGAATATTTGTTGGGTTGTATTTGGTTCAGTTGTTAAAATGTTCTCTTGTTGCTTGTTTTATTTCTTCTGAATTATTGATTATTTTGTCTAATATTATAATCTTATCAAATGAGACCTGATTTTGGTTACATTTGAGTATACTGTTTATCATTCGAGATGTATTCATCTTCATATTATTGTATCTTCTTTGAATATAAAAATTTATTTTTTCTTTTTAAGCGTTTTTAATTTCAAAGCTTCATGCTTTCTATAAGGTTTTTTGAAGATGTTTCAGAAATTGTAAAAAGGACTGATAGTTGGATGTAATATCTAGATTTTGATAAAAATTAATCAGTAGGTCTGTGTAAAGTAATATTTGCTGTAGTAAAGTATTAGTATCTTGTATAACAGAATTTATTGAAGTTGAAGGTCTTAAATATCTAATATCTTTTGGACATTTGTTTGTAAGTTTGAGTACCAAATGTAGTTTGGTTGCTTTGAGAGAGTAAGCATAATGTGTTTTAGGAGCTGTATAAGTTTTTGGTATGATTTGGTTTGCAACTTTTTTGATTGAGTTTGACCATTTGTTTCAAATTTTGTTTAGTTGCTGTATTATTAAGATGTTTTGTGTTGGAGGTATTGGTTTGAATTCTAATTCAAGTACATTGATAAAATCTTTCCATTTGTCTGTTGACATTTGATGATATAAGTATATTTTTCTTTTTTTCTTCTTCGATTTTGGTATTTTTAGTTGAAAGTTTGTTTTCTATGTAGTAACAATTATCTTATGATCACTGTTTGTAATATCTACTGGATTAATAATTTTAAGTAGACTACAGTCTAGTAAAATTTCTGAGTTGACCCATATATCATCTATTTGGCTTTGGTTTGACCCTTTTTGCCATATAGATTCAGTTATTGCATAGAATTTTATTAGGCTGGTAAATGATAGTAATTGAAGTGTAGTGAAGAGGTTTGATGTTCATTTAAGATGATTATAATTATCAATGAAGTCTCTTATTGTAATAGTATGCCAATTATGGCTTTTTGACTAAGATAATCAATTGTTAACTGTATTTTGTATAGTTTTAAGTTGTTCTAGATAGTTTGATGAAAGGTATACTGAGATAAGATGAAGCTTATTGTTTGATGATAAATGAAAATCAATACTTATTGCTATGCCTGCTACTGTTTGTATATTAAATATATAAGGTTGAAGTTTATGATAGAGCATAATTTCAGTTTCCATGCTATCTTCATGTAAAGTATTATCGGTTTTGTATATCAAATTCAGACAATGTTGCAATCAAATTCAAACATTGTTGTAATCAAATTCAGACATTGTTGCAATCAAATTCAGACATTATAGCAATCAAATTCAGACATTGTAGCAATCAAATTCAGACATTAAAGCAATCAAATTCAGACATTATTGCAATTAAATTTAGACAAGTCATCTTATATAACTTAGATCATCAGATTATAACAAAGTTCTATGTAATCTTAAAATTAAAGCACAACACACTTGGAAGCTTGTTTTATGTAAAAAATAAAAATACTAATGTGGTTTGAGATTATACATAGTTATTATTGGCTGATTTAATTTATTAAAATATTACTACCTAAGCTGGCTTAGCCATATCAAATTGAGAATAGTCTAAAGCTAGACAGCATTTTGATATACATTACATAATGCTTAATCTATAAGTCAATTTGTAATAAACTTAAAAATCTGCTTGGCTTTAGATCTTCAGAATTATCAACTTGACTAAACATACAAATTTTTTATTCACTACTTAAGCTGTAGTAGTGAAGGTATCTGTGCACTTGCACTTCCAATGCCTGCTCTTCCTTTAAGTGATATTGCATTCGAATTAGATCCAATTGATCTACTACAACCTATTCAATATTGTTATTATAAATAGTCTTTATAAAATAGCCTTGTTCAAACTCTACAAAAATATAAAATAAAATGTACTAACCTTTACCACGACCTCTATGTATCATGCTTCGTGATTTCCTAAATCTTGAATTCTAAATAAAAATAAAAAGTCAATAAACTAATAATCTCCTAATCCTCATAAATTATAAATCAATAATGACCTGCATCACTAAGTTCATCAAATTGTCTAGGACCTGTTGACTAGATGCTTCTAAATTTCTCACTAGATCTACTGCAAATTTATCTTCTTTTTGGATGATAAGTGTATAAGCTGTACCTTTCTCTCCTATACAAATTAATAAACAATTTAATAAATTATCTGATTATAATATATTAAATATTTTGTTCCTAGTTCAAATTAATTTATTATATATATTACCTGCTCCAATCTGATGTACATGTAAATCTATGTTACGTGTGATATCATAATTGATGATGGTCTTAACAGCCTTTATATTAAGTTCTCTTGCTAATTGTTTAATAATTTCAATAAGAGTAATAAAAACTAATAATAAAATAAAATAAAAAATCCATTTAGTCATACTCACCAGCTACATCAGTCGCAACCATGATAGAAAATTTATTATTTTTAAAATCTTTCAACACTTTGTCATGATCGACCTGCATTATGTTACCATGCAATGCTCCATCTATTTATATTAAAACAAGATTTATCAAATAAAGGTACTTCAAAAAGGTACTTTGAAAATGAAATTTTGAACTTACATTCATGACCAACTTGGTTCAAATTGCTTGACAGTGCTTCAATGCCATCTTTTCAACTGACAAAAATGAGAACACTACTCTTTTGATAGTAGAAAATGGTATATTAACTTAAAAATTTAAATTTAATTGATTAATGTGGACAGAATGAAGCTTACTAACATGAAATAATACTAAATGGTTTATTAACCAACTTCATTTGTATCTGTCATCAGCCAAAATTTCTATCTTTTGCATAATATCAGTATTCGTCTATAATTTATTCACATTGTTAAAATTAAAATATTATATTTAAAAATATAAAAAATGTAAAAAGTATCTGACCAATACTACCAATGGAAATTCTTACTGGTTCAGTAGTTACTTTGTGAGCTAGAATCTTAACTTTTTTGGGAAATGTCATGCTAAACAATAATGTTATATAATATTCCAGAAATGAGAATATTCTTATATAAATATTAAATTACTATAATAACTTTTGATCCATACTTTGCCTATCTGGTCTAATATTGTCACAAATAGAACGAACTTGCGGTTCTTGAGAAAGTGAAATACATATAACAATGAATCCCATTATATATTTCTTAGTTTTAAGATTAATAATATGTAAAATTGCAATGTTACACACCAAAGCCAAAATCAAACATTCTGTCAACTTCATCAAGGATTAAAAAGCTAACTCATCAAAAATTCATCACTTTCATTTTGACCATATCAATAAGTCTTCTCTGATTTCAAAATATATTAAAATTTTGTTCATTAAAATTTAAATGATTAAAAATAGTTAATATTATAAAACAATTTATTTTTACTCACTAAGGTACCTACTAGTATCTCTATTCCACCAGGTCAGAGTTCTTTAAATTGATCCATTTTCAAAGCATCTTCATAAACTGCTGCAACTTTGCATTTGGGTTAAAGCATTTTGGAAAGAAGCAGAGAGAGTAGTGTATATGTCATTTTTGATTCCATTCTACCAATATGGAACAAATTTTATATTTTTGATTTCTACCTCAAACCATAAATCTTGGCAAATTTTTTGGCTTCAATGTATATCTGGCTGGCCAATTCTCTTGTTGGTGCTAATATTAAACTAATTGACCCTTTGCCTATTTTAAACAAGCACAAATTTCATATATATGATTAAGTTTTTTTTTTTTTAAAAAAAAAAAAGAATATATATATATAACAAATTATGTTCACCTTTTTGTAATTCTTCTTGATTCATGATATGTGTCAACATCGGCCAAATAAAAGTGGCAGTTTATCAGAACTTTATGCAATTATAAAGGAAATTGTTTAATTGAATTCTTAAGTCTTTATAATTAATCGAGATAATAATAATAAAGTCCACCTGTTTGTGCAATACCGATAATGGCTTTATCGGACATTGCAACAGGTACTGCCTAATATATTAAAGAAATATTTGAAAGTTTGAAGTTTCAAAAAAAAATGAGTGTTATGTTGTAATATCTGCTTCTGAATTCCCATTGGTTCTGAGTATCTATGCTTAATAATAACATTCAGTAAGGCCTCGTTAAAGCTAAAGTGTAGGCTTTGCAACATCAGCATCAGACACTTTATATAGCAAGTTTTTTTTAACAACAGTTGTTATAGAAAAAGTTGATATGCAACTATATAGATCTCATTTTTACCATATTATCTTTATATCATGTGAAATTTTCTATTTTAAACTTTGATCATGTATACATTAAACAATTGATGATTAAATAATACTGTAAAACTTAACAGTAACTTTAAAACTATAAAATATAAAACATCGATCGAGGCATGAAAGATTTGATTTGAGTTTCTGGAGCCTTAAGTCTTGTAAAGATAATACCAGGGAATCTGAAATTTGAAACCATCATAGATATATATAAATATATCTAAATGTTAATATAACTATTCAAGTTTTTAAATATGTGGCATCAAAAGTGAAAAAAAAATTTATTGTATTATTTAGCTGAATACATTGCACAATTTAGCAAAATATATTATTTAATTGCTATATACTATATTAATATGTATGTTATAAATTTATACATCAATTTCTTCTTAATTCAAGCATCTATCAAAATAGGTAATAGTATGTCGAATCCATCCAAGACAATCTTCCTCAGATACTGCATCAAATGTGTCAGCAATCCTACTCAAAATAGTTTCATGATCTCTAATTTTGTTTCATGCTACAAGGTCCTTAACTTTAGAAAAAGTACTTTCAATCAGATTCAAGAATAATGAGTAAGAAGGAAGATAGAAAATTTTATGTGATAAGTCTTCAACAATATCTTTTACAATATATGTGCGATGGATCATTGCATTATCCATAATTAAAAATTTTTTATTATTTCCAGGAACTAAGAAAATAAGCTCTTGAATGTATTCTGCAAAAGTATCAGTATTAGCTAATTTCAAATATGCAGTATAATTTAAAACACCATTTTTGATAATTGCTACAATAACTGTAATATTTTTGCCTTTTTGTGTTTCTATCACTTGAACTGCAGGTTATCCTCAGAGTGAATAGCTATGAGAAGAAGATAAGTGTAAATTAAATCCAGTTTCGTTAATATAAATTGCATCTTTCAACATATCAATAACTTTTTGATAAATTTTCTCAACATATCTTTTTCTATCCAGGATTGTATCAGAAGTATTATGTTTATGAGATATAGTTACTAATCGCTTCAAAGTAAATCCAATCTTATTAACATATTTTCTAATAGTATCATTACTAATCTATAAAATATTTGATTTAAACATAAATACAACTCCTGGTTAAAAAAATATTTTTATATCAATATGTATATTAAATAAAACTATACCTCTAATTGAGGATATTTATTAATTAATTTTTTGGTCAAATCCACAATAATAATGTATAGTTCCTTATTAATAGTTTTACTTAAAAAATCTTTATGATTTTCAGTTAAAATAGATCTTTTATCTCCACCTTTTGATTTGAGAACAACTCGATCCTTCATATCAAATCGCTTTACAATGTCATGCACAGTTGAACGTGAAATCTGTAACTTTGCAGCAATGCTTCTAATAGAATTTTGCTTATTATTGACTTCATCAATAATTTTTTTTTTTTGGTCTAATGAAATTTGTTGATATTTATGATTTTTAGGCAATTTAGGCATAAGAAATACTTGACACAAATATAAATCTCTAACTTGATTAGTATATATAAAACATAAAAAAAAAATCTAAGTAAATTTTATTAAACTATACAAATTCAGTTTCATAGTTAGATTATATTAAAGTTATTATATATATATATCAATATATATATATTTAATATAAAAAAAAAATTCAAGTAAATTTTATTAAATTTAACTATATAAATTTAGTTCTAGAGTTAAATTATATTAAAATTATTACATATACATGTCATACATTGAAACAGAATTATTGTATAAGTAGCTGCGTGATATTGTCATGCAAAACTAGAAACAAAAGATGGATTTTTAGATCAAGTTACAGATGAAACCACTTTCATCATAAGTTTTTTGTTTGCTTAACTTTTATAAGTTTTATTTGCAACTTTAAATTAGATTATATGTGCAGTAGGTCAAATACTAACTATGTTATTTAGATGGACTTTATATGCTAGTATGGTATAGATGTAGCATTCTTGCATGTATCGGTCAAGGATTATGTCTATTAATTCAATAAGAATTGTCAATTTATAAGATCATCATTATGAATTTATACTAATTTTATTTAGATGAGTAATGTTTATTTAGATAATATATCCATAAATTATATCTTAATCTTTCACTAAACTAAATCATAATGTGATATATGTCCATCTTTTACTAAATATTTACTTTATATTTTTTTATAGCTACTGTATTATAAAAGAAACTTTGATTAAAATTATGAAGCAAAAATCATACATGTGATTATATCATGTGCTATTTTGGATAGTTTAACAATCACATATTAATGCTAATATCTGTTAATCTGTAAGGCAATTGTCAATTTATATGATCATCATGCAAATTTTCTATTGTTTTTCATAGATAAAAAAAATTATTTGAATATTATATGCTAATCCTTTGTATTGAACTAAGTAAAAATATTATATGGGTTCATCTTCAATAATTATTCACTTTATTATTTTCTATAGCTGTTATAATGTAAAAGAAACTTTGATCCAAATTGTGAACTATGAATAATAAATTAACATCAGTATTTCAATCAAAAAATTTTATGTTAAAATTAAAATGCTGTATCAAATACATTACATTTAGGTATAGTAAATACAACATCCAAATGCTCAAATAATGTAATACAGAATTACCATTATTGCTTTTGTACAATATCCAAGATTTCTATTAATAATCGTTGATTTACAGTAGAGTGTTAAGCATTGAAACTATATTCTAATCTAAATTATATGAATCTTGAAGATAGATAAATTTATAAACCAGATTTTAGATATTTATTATTAATGTTCTTTATTTTTTATAGTAGATAATAATGCCTAAAGTTTAGAATAGTTTAGATATCTAATTAGTATTTTATTAATCAACTTATTGGTACTCTGATTAGTAAACTCAGAGTAAATGCTATCAATATCTGTGAAAAAAAAGTTTAAAGTATATTTTGACTGACTTTTTAACTCAAGTATGTAATATTTTTGTAGAGTATTTGAATAGGTGTTCTGTAAGTGTCGGCATTGGCATTATGTTTGAATCTTAAATCCTAGCTTAAATATATACTTTATCTTCATAAGCACTTTTTATTATTTCCCAAGTGTCTCTTATAAAAGTTGAGTTTTTATAAAAGTTACTTAGAGAGTTTTAACTTAGTACAATTCTAATTAATTTAAGAATTATTATAATTTATCTAATAGGATTAAGACTAAGCCTCTTTTTTTTTGAAACAACATTTGTATATGTTATTAAACATTGTATTTAACTTCTTAAAAATATATGAAATTATGCAGATATCTCAGTACTAACCACTTTGCTTCCATATGATACAGTATAATGATATGGTCAGAACAGAGAACAAAAATGAGTAAAATCAAAACAATTTAATAAATGTATGACGAGGTTAAAAGCTAAGATAATAAATAGAGAAATTAACATTATTTAATAATCTAGAAAGGATAATTATCTGATTTGCATTTTTTTTTATTATGTGTAAATAGACAAAAAGTTTTATAGGTAAAAATAACAGAAAGAAACATTGATGTTACATGATTGACTTTACACATGGTGTGATTATAATCCAACATCATTTTTATTATAATAAAAATAGTGTTGGATTATAATTATAACATCTACTAAGATTGTTTAAGTATTGTAAAATAATTTTTTTTATGTATTTTACACCATGTATAAAATCAATCATGTAACATCAACATTTCCTCCTATTGGTAAAAATATAGAAATTACAAGATAAAGTCACAAGATTAGAACAACCAATTAGATAAAAAAGAGATACACTATTTCAGATGCCTATAAACTATACTCTACATTGTACATTGTACAAACTCCGTTCATGGTATATTTAAAATCAGCTTAGGTCAGAACAGAATTTTAAATGTAGTCAGAAAATTTATCAAAAAATAATGTAATGATAAGATCACCTGTGAATTTTATTTTAACAAATACAAAAATATTTTTCCATTTTGCAACTCACAATGCTAATGGTTTTGTTAGGTTCAGACTGCCTAAACATTGTAATTAACAAGCAGAAATAATTTTATTGATTATATATATATATTAATGGTTTACAGATATTTTAAATATTACCAACATGTTAAGAGACATAATTCATCATATTTTTCTGAAGCAATTTTGTCTTAGCAATGTTTTTGATCATGACAAGAATGGACAACCAAGCATAAATCATTATTTCAATTGTATCAAAATCATATTACTGTGATTCAGGCTTTTTTTTTTTTAATAAATAAATATTTACTAAACATCAAACAAATACTGATTATAAGATTTATTTTTAGAAATCTAATATTGACATACTTTCTCGCTTGATTTAAGTGCTGCCCAAATTATTTTATGACATAAAAATGTGAATACAAGCTTCCTTAAGTGTTATTGTTCTGTAATGGTAGAAGATTATCTCAATTACAGAACTTCTACATTTTTTTTTGATTGTTGTTGATCTTAACAGGTACAAAACACTTTTACAGATGATAGCTCTTATATCTGAGATTTTAACTATAATTCAAATCTATATCAGGTATTATTATTTGATATTTATATTTTCTAATAGCCTTTATATTTTAATAAATGTCAGTTATCACATTTGTTTGTGCAGTGCTGAAACGAGTAATTCCAGAAGATTTTTGGGGTTGTAATAATAATCAACAAGTAATATTTAAATGTAATATAAATATTTAAGAATAATTGAAATATTTATCATTATTATTCTCATTATATATTACTATTATTATTTTAATATTAGCTGTAGAAAAGTTCATCACACTTAGGTATTATGAAGAATTCTCACTGCACTATGTTTTAGATAAATTCAAAGTATATAGAGTTTTTCTGTTACATATTTTATTCTCTACATATTATATTACATATATAGTTCTAAATATTAAATTTAAGATCAAGCAGTGCAAGTGACTTTTTGTAAAGGATAATTAAAATAACAAAGTTGAAGCTGATAAGAGATCCAAACTATTATATGAATTTATCTGATAGATATTTGATTGCTTTGTTATTCCACTGCTTCAAGTTAGAGAATTCAAGTTCTTAGTACTTTCTGGATTCATATTACTCAGGCTAATTTCTATATAGCTACCAATGCAAAATACAAAAATTATGTGTTTTACTATCATAAAGATATCTGATTATGAATTGAAAAACAATATAGAATCTTTGTCAGTAAACATTTTTGAGGGAGTTCCTGAAGTATTTAAATTCATTATTGAAAATACACATCATTAATATGTATCTTAACATTTAGTAATTATTGTTTATATTGTATTTGTAGGAAACTGGGAAACAGTTCTTGAACAATAATATCTTGAAATATTCTACTGTTCGATTTCTTCCAAAAGGATCAAAAAACGTGCCCCCAGTAATGTGTAACACCCAATGTAAAAATTGTCGTAACCTACACATACTGTGCTATACTTTTTAAGATAATGTATCATATAATAAAATATTGTAATATTAATATCATATGAGAAAAATCCAATTAGATTCATAAATTCAGATACTTTGTACTTATCATTAAAACATACTCTATATACTTAGTACTCCATTTCTAATATATTTTAGTGAAAAGTTTTGTTCAAATTTGACATTTAAATTTGATTAGACTGCTATGATAATCATTGTTATATCGAATTTGTGTTGTAATGTTTGAATTTGACTGCTGTCTGAAGTTAACTGCTATGATGTCTAAATTTAATTGTTGTAATGTCTAAATTTGATTACGATGATGTCTGAATTTGATTGCAATAATGTCTAAATTTGATTGCGATGATGTCTGAATTTGATCGCTATGATGTCTGAATTTGATCACTATGATGTCCGAATTTAATCACTATGGTGTCCGAATTTGATCACTATGGTGTCTGAATTTGATTGCTATAGTGTCTGAATTTGATTTTACTGATGTCTGAATTTGATTGCTATAATGTTCAAATTTGATTGCTTTAATGTCTGAATTTGATTGCTACAATGTTTGAATTTGATTGCTATAATGTCTGAATTTGATTGCAACAATGTCTGAATTTGATTGCAACAATGTTCGAATTTAATTGCAACAGTATCTAAATTTGGTATACAAAACTGATATCTTTTGGTTTGAGGTTAGATGTATAGATTTTATATAGTAGATTGAAAAGTGTTGAGATCGAAGAGTTTTTGAATTTGGTTTCTGTAATTAAAATAATGTAGTTGTAGTTTTAGTAGTTTGTTAAGTTCTTGTACATTGTAAGTTACAATATTGAGATGATTCTTGATATCTATAAGACTTTTGTTAGAAGAAGTTTGTAGTATATTAATAAGGTTATTATTGTTCACTTGAAAAAATAATGTGTTTTGTTTTTGGGTTATTGAGTTTGAGTTATTATTTTTTTTAGTTGTTGTCATTTATTTTGCATATAGACAAAATATTCTCCAGTTGGGTTCTAGAAGAGGTGGAAGTGTGAGAAGAAATTCAGGAATTTTTTTTATTGTATAATGTTCTCTTAATGTTTTTAAAGTTTCAGTTGCTTTGTTTTGTTGAGTAATAAGTAATTCTATATTTGACATTTCTGTATCTTTTGTATTTAGTTCTTCTTATATTTTTTCGATTGAGTCTGGAATTTCAGATTTTTGATCTGATAATATATCTGATCTACTGTCTCATAAATATGTACCATTAATTATTTGAATTCAGCTGTCTGGTATTTTTTGAAAATAGTATGTTTGTCTTAACATTCTTGCTGTTTCTATAAGTCTTTTAGATGTATCGATTGATAGGGTTAGATTGTAGTCTGTAATTTTAGAGGAGTTTATAGGTAGTCTGGGTTTGTCAATTGGATTTGCTGTCATAACTGTTTCTGGAAAAGGTATAGTAAGCTTATATATACTTTTAATTTCATTTATGAAGTTTTTTGCTATTGTGTCATCAGTAATCAGAAAGGAGTAAGTATTTGTAGTTTTGATTTTAAAGGGGTCTTTTGGAAGGTTTAGTTTTGCTTTAAAATAATCATTTGGTATGACTTGAAAGATGTAATGCTCTCTTAGCCATGCTGTTATATCTTTCATGTCTACTAAAGGGTCTGCTCTATTAATTGAAAAGTGTTGTCTAAGTTATAGGTCTTTTATATCTTAATATGCCCATAGTAACAAGGGTTTTATAAGGGTGGGTGATAGTAATCTAAAGTAGTGACTAGGTATTTCCATACAATCATAGTGGTCTTGAAGTTGTTTCTTATAGTATGCTAGTCTTGTAAGTTCTCTTCTTTGTGTAATTGAAAATAGATTTTTTATTGCTTCATCTAAGTCTTCTAGGTTTGTTGGTAAGGGTGGAAGTTTGGCAAAGTAGGTTTCTGAAAGTTGTTCAAAGGAATAGATTTTATATAAAGCTGTAACAATTGCTCTTGTCTGGGATTTATGTTTAATTGGTAGAGTAAAAAGAAGGATATTTCATATTTCTTCTGAAATAAGTTCTGGTGATTCAGATAGTTTTGCCAAATATGATGTTAGGGCATTATTTAATACTTCTTAAATTGCTTCTGTATCTATTGCATTTTCATCTTTTGTAAAACCCTTATAGTATTTTAGAACCTTTGCTATATGTTTGGAAAGTTGGGTCTTAAAGTTTAGGTTTGTTGTATAGTCTATAATTAACTTCTATCTCAGTTTCATATGAATTAGATTTCGGGTGTCTCTGTTGGTAATAGTAATTGCATTAGTAATTTTTTGGCATAAGTAAAAGTTATAAAGAAGATTGAATCAGTATATTTAAATTTTGCTTCAGATGCTAGAGGGATTGGTCTTTCAGTTGGTTTTGTTTGTAGTTTGTATTTAATAAATACTTGAATCTTTTCTTTAGATTTATATGCTTCGATTATATTATCATATAACCATTCTTTGCCATTGAAAGATGTATTAATTTTGGCCTTCAAATTGTCATTTACTTGTTAAGTTCATGTTTCTGTATAGTTAGTTTTTATTTCTGTCATGTTACTTACACTTGCATCTTCTTGGACAATTTGACTATATGTGGTTTGTTGTTTGTATTTAGCATCATGGAATTGTTTGTTTGTTCTATTTCTGTATCTATTTGGTTGCTTTGTTCTAATTCTGTGACTTAGTTGCTATTTGCTATTGCTTCATAGGGATTTTGTATTTTTATTAGTGTAGGTTCTATGTTGTGTTGGTTGCTTATTTCTATATCTGGAGTTTGATTTTGTAGCATGATTGTTTGATTTTCTTTTATGACTATGTGGGCTTGTGTGTTATGCAAAATGATTACTGTATTGTTTTTTTTTTCTATGATATTTGTTGAGATGTTGCTATTGCCGGTTTGAGTTGTATTGTTGTTGTGCTGATTTGCTTAAGATAACATCATTGCTTGTTTTGTAGAGAGTATGTCATATCGCCCACTTTTGTTGCTGGCTGGAATTTGAGAAGGAACAGTATGTCTTTTTTTATTATATGCATCTTTGTACATAACATCTAGATTGATACGATGTTGTTGCTGTTTGGTAGGATATTTGTAGTTGCACCTGGAGTTTTTGTTTTGTAACTTTGCAGTACTGCTAACCTTAATAGCCTTAGTTTGTTTTCATGGTTAAATGTATTGAATTTTTTTTTTTTACTTTTGTCTCGTATAGTTAAAGTGGTTATATCTTTGCTTTATATCTTGTATGAGTAATTTTTCTGCCCAGAGTAGGCTTTTTTATTTAGGCTTTCTTCTATTGTATTCACTATTTTTCTATTTTTTGTTTTTTGCCTCTACTGATTTTTATGTTTTGAGATCTGCAGAGGAGAGTTTTTTCTACTGATTCAAATATTTACTTATTATTTAGTTATATTTTATACAAAATTAATATATAACTTGACTATTGAATACTTTATAGTTATTATACAAACAACATTTTATATTATCAAATCTTGATAAGTTTTAACTACTCTAATAGGTTTAGGTTGCAAATAAATTAAATAGATAACAGTTAGTTTTTTTTTATAGTTTGAGCTTTACTTTTATAATAAATTTGTAATTAAAATAAATTTTGTAATTAGAATAGATTTTTGTAATTTATATCCAGAAAAGTCCTTGAAGACATCTTCAACAAATTAATAAAGATATAAGCAAAACCTTATCTTAACTCTCAAAAAAAATTTTTTAGTAATTAGATTTAGATTACAAATAACTAATCTGAGTTTCTAATCTTAATATTTAGTAGATGTAAAATTCAAATATAAACCTTTTCTATATATTTTACTTGTAAAAAGTTTAATTAAGTTTTAATAAAAATAGAAGCATAACCTTATTTTAATATTTAAAAAATAAAAAAGCTAATAATTATAAAAATTTTTATAATTTAAAACTTTTATTTATATCTATATATAAACTTTTTAAGTATTATAAGCATATATTTGATACACTAGTATACAATTAAATTATTTTATAAAAAATTATTAAATTTTTATAAAATTTTAAAAATAAATAAAATTGGTTTAATAATAAAAGATCAATTTATTTAATAAAAAATCTATTAATAATATATTATAATTATTTATAATTTAGTAACTAGAATTAGATTATTTGATTCATTTTGATAAAATAAATCAAATATTAATAAAATTATTTATTTTTAATTTCTGTAATCAATTATACATTATAATACTTTTTTTTATCTTATATATATATAAATAAAAAATAAATCATTTTATTATTACTTCTTTTATTAATTTTTTTATCTTTTACAAATTTAATATTTTTCTAGTTTCATCATCTTTTAGTAGTTTTGCCAATTTCAACAGTTTCAACAGTTTTATCAGTTTCATCATTTTTCCATTTTCAATTTTTTTTTGGCAAAACCTCTAAGTTTCGCCTAACAACACTACTCACGAGTATACTTTTAGAACTTTACAACCTTTTATGACTTCGTTTTAATTAATTATTTATGTTAATTTGGTTCATGATCGAAAGTTTACTATAACAGGTTTATGAACTTTGAAATTTTAAATTTAGATAATCGAGGATGTAACATGTTGATTTTATATACCTAATAATTCGATATCATTTGAACAATTTAATTCACGTTTACCATTCATTTTAAAACTGATCAAGATTATTATTTAGTAATCAAATTTATCTTTAGAATCAGGTCTACCAAATAATTGATTGTGAGGGCAATTAATTGCAACTATTCAAAACCCAATTAATCGATTGGTGGTGAAGTCACAGAAAGCCGTTTAATTGCAATTTCTAAAGTTTGAAAAATGTAACAACTTGATAAAATATGTAATAATAACCATAAGTATGAGTATATTTGAAGATATTTGACATCAAAACTTGTAGTGTTTGAAATAAATTGTACAAATCACGAGAACATTAATTTACATTCCTTTACAAAGACATGTATATAGTACAGCATTCTACAGTAAATCTTTTTTTTTTAAATCGGTTTCAATGAATGTCAAAGTTCTAAACAAATGTTACATAAATGCTTTTTCAGACCTTCAAATGACGACAGACATTAGTGTAATTTACGTTCTTCCAATTATAATCAGTAGCGTTCTTCCAGATCATAGCTGATGGCAGGCATTAATGCAATTTATGTTCTTCCAGATCACACCCGATAATCAAAAAGATGCTCTTTTTAGACCTCCAAATGATGATAATCATCAGCGTAACTTACATTCTTTCGATGATGCCTTTTTCTGACCTTCAAATGATCGAAAATATCAGCGTCTTTCTAGCCATAGTCGGTAGTGTTCTTCCAGACTATTTTATATATAATATATTATGAGTACAGTATGCTAATTTTATATACTCAAATGCGATTATTACAGTATCTCCACTACTTTACTAAACCATACACCACTACGAGGCCGTGTAATATTTTAACCCGGTTATAAATCGGTACGTATCTCCCTTAATTCAACGATCACCCGATGATCCAAAAAACCAAATTTCTATCGTCTTTGACGATCAGCGATTATCATTCCATCAATCCAATAAAAAATCCTACGAAAAAAAAAACAAAAAATGCCAAATATCAGGTAAATACGCAAATTAATTTGCACCGAGTTGCGTCTGAAATTCCTTTTACTATCGTTAGTTATCACAACTACGACATCGTTTACGTTTGCATTTTTTGTATTCAAGTTATACTCTGTAATTACGTATCCGAATGCACATGTATATCCGTTGATCTATATGCGTGATGAATTCATGTGTGAAAAATAACCAAAATTTGATGAATAAGTCATTCGGACCAATCAAACTTAAGATTTTGTGGACGTAAACCACCTATTGCACCTTATAAGCCATACACTTCGTGATTTCATCACTCCGTTCCTGGTATTATTAAGGTCCCATCACTAGATATGTGTCTGTCGTAATATCGCTAGTGCTATTTTAGCTGCTAAAAAAATCTGATATAGATATCCGATATGCAACGTACGTAACGCGAACAAATAAAGAACTTTTTACGAAATTTAATTATTATTTTGTCTGAATTTGGTTTACAATCCCTATTTATGTATTTATGTGCATCATTCATTAAATGTAGTTTCCTCTAAATGCAATCGCTAAATTCAATCGCGCCTCTCTACGAGAAATATCATTGTTATTATTATTAATCTTACATGCATATTGATATAACAATTTAGTGATACGTATAAACTTGATTACAGCAATAAAAGTCGGTACGTGCTATTTTTGCTACTACTAAAATCACTATCTCTGATCACTTTATATAGAATAAATGACAACTAATTTGTTAGAGACATGCTAAAATTGTCATTCTCAGATACTGTAACACTTATTTAAATTTATCAGTATGCACATGGATAATTTGCTTGTTTTTCGTACGCACGCATATAATTTCTATGCAGGCTGAGTAATTGATATTTCTTGCATCTTAGAGATTTATAATTTGGGAAATTTATTTTCGATGTGCTACTAGTTTACATACGATATGAGGTTTTCTTCACCGTACACCGATTCATCCAATTTTTGGGTTTAATTAGTCCAATTGACAAGACAGGACCATACTGGTTGTACGTACAACATACATAGCTATGGTGAAAACAACTTCTGTATTTTTAATGGGATAAAACAGAAAAAATCTTTTTTATCTGAACGCAGGAAGTGAGTTCGTAATCAGAATTTCGATTTGAATTGTTTTCTCAAATTTCACATTACAATGAGAGCTGCAACTTGAATTTTTTCTGCAAAAAAAAATTATTTATTTTATTTGCATACACTGTATTAGTAAATTTATAATATATAAGTCAGTGAAGAAAAGATTGATTACATATCTTATGTCTAATTCTGTATTAAATATTGTACCGTGCATTAACAAATTTTCTATATAAGTTGCTGGAATTTTTTTTCTTGTTCTATACCAATTTTTTGAACCTTGTTATTATACAATTTTAAAAGTTATTTATAAACCATAATTTAGATTATAAAGCAATGAACTATCAAATTTTAAATTTAATTTTTCTTTCGTGCTTACTAGCATTCACTATTTTTATTGATGCTCATCCTTATAAAGATAATTTTAATTATTGTTGTGGAACCCCTGGTCAAAGTCCAGGATGGAAAAATTCGTTTCATCGCCTCACGTATGCAAATGCAGACCTAAGTGAAGCCACTTCCAAAGACATTACCACTGACAGCGATTGTTGTAAAGAATGTGTTAAGGATCCTAAATGCATTGGATGGGTTTATACGAATAAAGTATGTCTTTTGGGTGTCAATAAAGAACTTTTACCCGACATTTGCACTTATCCTACACTAAGTGAAACAAACAGTTCATTACTTGAAAAGGCTCCCTGGGAAGCCTCCGGAGTTATTCGTTGTAGTGATGGTTGTAATCTACCTCAAACAGAATCTTCCTCATTAGCATTTTCCTAACCAGCTTGATCATAAATTCTATTAATTATCATAAATTTCTAAATTTGTTTATAGAATGAATTTAGCAGATAAAATAACTGTTTATTAAAATCTTTCATTATCATCATTATCATGTATTATCTTTCTAATACTTTGCTATCTGATATACAATATTTATTCTTCACAAAGAGGAGAATAAACATGTTATTTTTAGAAATAAAGCTTTTTATCAGAATGTCCGAATAATTCGGATTTTACTAATTATTTTTTCGGAGAATTAAATTGAATTATCCAGTTACCTATCTTCATACATTATATGATCATGCTTTAATGATGACCACAGTTTAACTTCGAAATGAAAGTTTTTAGCACGAAATTTTAGTTATATGAGCATATTTAAATATCGAATATTAAGTAAATTAAAACCCGCGCTTAATTCTGATAACCTGTCACAGATTCCAGACGTGCCATGATTATTAGTGTCTGCACGATAATAATCCTAAGGGACGAACGTGAGTTTTCCCCAAGTTGAATTATCAGAATATCTGACAGAGACAGATGAACAGATACTACTATGGTATTTTCAGTTTTACTAATCACTTTGATTCACTTTAAGAATTTGTTGAAATAGAAAATTATCAAATTGTTCAACAACGATAAAGAATCGTATAGACATAAAATCGGATTTTTGAAACAGAACAGATATCGTAAATTCAACAAATTGTTAATGTCTAGATATTATGTTATATTATTATTATAGCTTATCATAATTAAATTTGAACTAATTTCACTCGTTCCATTGCTCCATTGAAATCTTTAATATTAAACCTTACTAATATATTATAAATATACTTATATTTGTCATTTTAACAGTGCAAAAAAATGTGTAAAATTTTGGGTACACCACTAAATTATAGAAATGACCAGGATTACTGCAAATCAATTCCAAAATTTTCGTAATAAATATTGAGTATTGATTCTTTATAAGTTTTGAAATATTTTGAGAGTCATAAATTAGATTCTTAACAGTCGATGGCAATAGGCTAATAAGCTTATTTACTATAAAATACTCGTGTCGTTGAGAACAGAATTGGGTAGAAGACCTCAATGTCTTACCTTTAAGAATTAAGCGAATGTACGGCTCTCACCCAGGGCTTAAAATCCTATAGTAATTCGCCCTATTGTCTGATGTGTTTTTCTTGATTCATTTTATTGTTTACTATACCAGCCAATTATACTATAGATCAAGAATGATATTTTTGAATGACCGGCATTTCAATATAGTCTTTTAAGCCCTACTCCCACCCTTATAATAATCTGCAAAAATTTAATCAGCAATTAATTTATTGAAACATAATTATTTTTGAAGATCAAAAGTTGAAAAAAAATATTGGTATGTGCAAATCTAATTTAGTGTAGTTAATGATGGGACTAACCGGGGTTAAAAAAGGAGGTTGTTTAATTAACATGCACTATGACCATTTAAAAAATTAATTTTAAATAAGTTTTTTATACGCTATGGTACGTGACAATTAAACTAGCTCCTTTTCTAACCCGGTTAGTCCCATCACTAAGAGTAGTCACTTAAATTTCCGACAGCTGAGTTTAATTATCGTAATTTCTATTTTTTTGTATTTCTTATTTGTATCTAGGAATGGATCCTGTCAGTCACAGTTAGTAATCGGTCGGTTATTATCTATCGGCTATCAGCTAATAACCGGTCGCTTGTGGTCAGTCATACCAGTCAAATAACTGGTTAATGACCAATCAATTATAATATTTAGCTATATGTTAGATTAATTTTTTTACACTATACATTACTAAAAATTTTCAATTAATATAAAAAGGTAACTGATATTTCTACACCTTTTTTTGATATTTTTACACTTATATAATTTGTTTTTTTTAATTAAAGGTATCTTGATAACCATCTGATCAAATTCAATGAATTTTCTTATTTAAATTTACAGAATTGTAAAATTCTAATAAAAAAATTTCATCAAATTTGGTTAGACGATTGTTAAAATATCTTAATTAAAGTTTTTTTTTAAAAAAAATAATCTATATAGATGTGAAAATATTAGTTATAAAATTTTTGAAATAGAGTTTAAAAAAATAATCTACATAAATGTAAAAATATTAGTTATCTATAAAATTTTAAAAAGAGATTTAAAAAAAACAATCTATATAGATGTGAAAATATTAATCATTAATAAAATTTTGAAAAGGGTTTAAAAAAAATAATTTAATTTTAAAATAATACTAAAAAATATTACAATATTGTTTTAAATAAAATTTTGAAAAGGGTTTAAAAAAAATAATTTAATTTTAAAATAATACAAAAAATATTACAATATTGTTTTAAATAAAATTACTTAGCCACCTTAACACCAAAAAAAAAAAAAAATTACTTAGCAGATTGTTTTAGTTTTATTAGTAATTAATTCATTAAAATTGATTTAATTTAGCTTAAAATAATATAAATTAAAATATTATAAAGGTTTATTTTTATTTTTTTTATTTTTTTCAGTATTAAGGTGATCTTTTTGGTCTTTCAACTTTATTAGCATATTTTTAGGAATGTAGTTCTGTAAGAGCTACTACAGGAAGAGCATACAATTGGCCACTCATGTAACTTTCTATATTACCTATTTAAGAAGTCCACCTAATGTTTCTTACCAATTGCCGTACCTAACATCCCTGCTTGGATGTTCCATTTAAACCCTTTGAACCTGTCTCATGTTACTTCACTAAGTCAAGCCTGGATCCTTCGTCTCAACCTTAGAACAGTTATTCTCAAGATAAATCTTCTGAAGCCTGCTGTTTACTTATTTTTGCAGTTGATCCAGATATTACTATAGCAGAACCAACACTTGCAGTCAGAGCTAACCATTAAACTGCTATGCTCTTGTAGAGTTCACACAGACCCCAGTACCTACTTTACAGCATATCTTTAGTACTTTAGTATACCTCTGCTTCTTTTACCAAACTCCCAATCCAGATAGCTCATGTAGGACTATAATCAGTCCATCAGTATATCAGGTTGATCTGATATCCTTTTCTTTCAGTCCAATCCAATGGTCTGGTTAGTGGTACTTCCAAGATTTCCAACCCAAAGGTTCTTACCCATCTGGCTACTTCAGCATTAGTATCTGTTTCTTAGGTCTAGTCTTTACAGTGGTACTATTGAAGTTCCATGTTATCTCTCTACTCAGGTCTTTCCAAATAAGTTTCTTGTTTCCTAATTTCTACAGATTTATATAGCCACAAAGACTTATCTTGAGTTTGCATCACCCAATTTGTCAGTTTGCATTCCTCTGTGTAACAAGTTACACAGATGTCTCATGACCTGCCAGTCATGCTAATGTGACTATAATTACAGGTATTTTAACCCAATCATTAGGAACAGTTGCTGTAATACCAAATTACATAGGTGATTATCCAAATTTTCATTATTAATAGAATTTGAATACCCAACCTACTACTTGGAGGGTTGACAACCTGACCACTTCACTAGGTCACCACACTCTATTATAAAGGTTTATATAATTTAGTACAGATCAAAAAATAAATAAAAATTAATAAAGACTAAAAAATAAAAACTGTTATAAGTTTAAAATAAAATCATATAAGATTTGTTGTATTATACAAATATGCAAATAGAGATAGATAGAAAATTCAAAGTTAAGTTTTTGATATTTTTATTATTAATGCATCAATAATGATAGTTTTGATATATTAAAATGTAACTTTTGTATTACTTTGCATAAAAATTGAGCATTCTCTATTATACTCTAGACAATTAAATAATAATAATAATTTTGCTATTATTTTATCTTATATTTATCAAATAATAACAGTATAACAGTAAAATAATAGCAGAATAACAGTAAAATAATAAAAGGTTTATTAATATTAGCAATATAATAGTAGCATATTAGCAAAATAATAGAATAGTTCTATTATTTTATTTTTAATCTTTATAGCTAAAAATAAAATAATAGAAATAATATATTATTTTATTAAAATATTATTATTATATTATTAATTTTGATAAAAATTCTGTTATTTTACTATTATTTTGCTATTATATTACTGTTATGCTATCATTATTTAGTAAATATAAGGTAGAATAATAATAGATTTTTTTTATTATTTAATTTTTATTAATCTTCATTTATTTTTTTAATTTGTATAACATATATGCATTATAATTAGTATTAGTCAAATTAGTAGTCAAAGAGTTTCTAGTCAAACTGGTCTAATCAAATTAGCCAAATGGTCTAACAATATAACAATTAAGCAAATTTAATAATAGTTATTTGGTCTAATTGAATAATTTTTTCTTATAACTAGTTTACTTAATTAACTTAACCAATATCAATAATGTTTTATTAGACCAGTTATTGATCAAACTGGTCTGGTCAAATGACAAATTGGTCTGATTAGCCTAATGCTAATTATAATATACCTATTTAATTAGATAATTAAATTATAAGATCAAATATGATATACAATTAAAAAAAGTAATAGTTTTTTTAAAATCACTTTTAATTTATAATTTTATTTATAAAACTACTTTTTATATTTTAATAAAAAATTTTTTGTAAACTTTTAATATAAAGATAATTTTTACTATTATTTAGTTTTAATTTATCTTAATTCTAAGTTTTATATTAAATTAATATAAGAATAGTAATTTTAGTATAGTAATTAAGTTGTTATTCTTTATATAGTAGATTCAAAGTTTAAATTTTACTGGTAATAAAATTTTTAAAAAAATATTTCTATTCCAGTAACTTGAATAGAATATTTGAGATTGTAACTTGATAATTTTAATTATACTAAGACTAATTTTAATAGTATTTAATATTATACAAAATAAATTTGAAAAATATATATTCTATAAAAAGTTTTGTTTAAAATTCTAAATAGAAAGATAATATAATCTTTAATAGTATTATCTATTTTTTTTTTCTTTACTTAAGCAGTCTTGCTAGTCATTTTTATTATATATTTTT